CCTTTTTATCTTTTAATTTTCTCTCCCTGGTTTCCTCCCTTGTGTTCCTTCCTTTTCCCTCGTTCCCTTTCTTGCTTCCTTCCACGCTCCCTCCCTGTTTCTCTACATTTGTCCCTTCCTTTTTCCTCCCTGTTTCCATACCTTGTTCTACCTTGTCCCTCCCTTTTCCTTTACTTTCAACATTTTTCCTCCCTTGTCCTTTCATGCTCCCCCTTTTTCCAATCCTTTCACTCCCTTTTCCTTTTCTGTTCTCTTTATTTCCCTTCATTTTCCCTTCCTTTTCCTCCCTTTTGCCTCTCCTGTCCTTCGCTTTTCCCTCCCATTTCCTTCCCTTTCCCTTGTCCATCCCTTTTCCCTTCCTTTTCCCTTCCTTTTCCCTCCCTTTTCCCTCCCTTTTCCCCTTTTCCCTCTTCCCCCTTTCTTTTCCATCCGTTTCCCTCCCTTTTCCTCCTCAGTCCTTCGCGTTACCGTCCCCTTGCAGTCCCTTTTCCTTTTTCCCTCCCTTTTTCTTTCATGTCTTCGCAGTCTCTTTTTGCAATCCTCCCTTTTCGGTTTTTCTCCCGGCCGAGTGAAAGGCAGGGGCGGCCCAGTGGAAGCAATCTACTTAGGAGTCAATTGGTTATGCTTTTCTCGGCGGCAGTACCCTGGTGCCAGACCACAACGCCCAGCACACCGCCAGAAGAGGAGGAGGAGGAGGAGGAGGAGGAGGAGGAGGAGGAGGAGGAGGAGGAGGAGGAGGAGGAGGAAGGAGGGCATGGCGGATTGCATGCAAGGGCGGCCAGGCAGGGGGCAGGATGTACGGGGGGCGGCGGCAGACATGAGCGGCGTGGGCGTCGTCATGGAAGCTGTTGTCATGGAAGTGGTCGTTGTGGTCGCTGACGTCGTGGCGGTGGTCGTGGTGGTTGTGGTCGTCGTGGTGGTGGTGGTAGTGGTGGTCGTGGTCGTGGCTGCGGGGTTGGGCTGGGGCGAAATGCCCCGTTGCCCCTTGGGAGGCAGGGGCTCTTTTGGCTGTGCCGCCCCGCGGGGCCAGAGCTCACTGGGCCGGGAGAGAGAGAGAGAGAGAGAGAGAGAGAGAGAGAGAGAGAAAGGGAGAGAGAGAGAGAGATACAGTCGGGGCTCTGAATAAGGAACCCTTTTCGTTGGGGAGGGGCTCCGTGTTCCTTCATTGTTTTCATTTTGCCCCAGGTTATCCTTGGATTTTCGATGGGAAGTCGAAGTTGAACTTCTGGAGAAAAGGGGCCTCGTTCCATATTTAGGGTTCCTTAGGTCAACGCCCCGACTGTAATGAGGGGAACAGAGAAAAAGAGGAGAGAGAGAGAGAGAGAGGAGGAAAAGGGAGAAAAGAGAGAGAGAGAGAGAAATAAACAATGGAGAAGAGAGAAGAGAGAGAGAGAGAGAGAACACAAGCGAAAGAGAGAAAAGAGAGATATATAGAAACATACACGCACATCGAGCAGTGAAAGAGGAAGAGAGAATGGTGAGCGGGGTAAGACGCGCGAGCCCGTGTGGGAGCGGCAGCGAGGCATGCGCAAGCGAGCGCCCGCATGGCGGCCAGGACGTTTGCTCGGTCTGCTCCACGTCTACACGAGGAGCCGCCTCGCCAGAGCCTTCCCAAGGCCCGACCGCGACCCTGCCGATGCCCTGGACCCTGCCGTGGCCCTGCTTGGGCCTTGCAAGGACGTCGCCAGGGCCCTTGATTCTGCCAGGTCCCTGCTTGGGCCCTATAGGACGTCGCCAGGGCCGTTGACCGCGCCGACCCGGATCGTGCTGGTGCTTTGCCAAGGCCTTCCTGGGGCCCTCCCCTTTCGATCAAGGATTGTCCGCGATCGCATCGCGAAGCATCGCATTGATCGTTCTTTTCCCAGTCGCCCTTGACGCCCGTCCATCCCGTTTCCCCTCCCCGTGGGAGGATGAGGATGATGATGATGACGACGATGACGATGATGATGATGATGATGATGATGATGATGATGATGATGATGATGATGATGATGATGATGACGATGACGATGACAATGACGATGACGACGACGACGAGGACAAGGACGAGGACGAGGACGACGACGACGCCGCCGCGCCGACGACGACGCCGACGCCGACGACGACGACGACCACGACGACGACGACGGCGACGATGACGACGACGACGACGATGATGATGATGACGATGAAGATGATGAAGATGATGATGATGATGATGATGATGATGATGATGATGATGATGATGATGATGATGATGATCATGCTGATGCTGATGCTGATGATGATGGTTATGATGATGCTGATGCTGATGCTGATGATGCTGATGATGCTGATGCTGTTGCTCATGTTGATGCTGATGATGCTGCTGTTGATACTGCTGCTGATGATGATGCTGGTGGTAGTGGTGATGATGATTATGATGATAATGATGCTGGTTAGATGTGATGATGCCTATGATGGTGGCAGGCGGCGAGGGTGATGATGAAGACGATGACGACGACGACGACGACGACGACGACGGCGATGATGATGATGATGGTGATGATGATGATGATGATGGTTATGGTGATGATGATGATGATGATGGTGAGGACGATGAAGATGATGATGACGATGGATAATGATGCTGATGATGATGATGATGATGATGATGATGCTGATGATGATGATGACGATGGTGATTGTGGTGGTGGTGGTGGTAGATGAGGAGGAAGAGGAGGATGAGGAGGAGGAGGATGAGGATGAGGAAGGGAGGAGGAGGAGGAAGAGGAGGTGGTGGGGGAGGAGCAGGAGGATCATACCTAAGGATTATCCCAGGACGCCTCTGTTGGATCACTCGCACCTGCGGGGGGGATCCATCTGTTCGACGAGATCGGATCGCTGGCGAAAGCATTTTGAAGGTCGGCAGCGATGGGGCGTCCGGGTAGGGAGCGTCGCCGTGCAGGGTGTCGCCCAAGAGGGCCCCGCGAGCACGACGGGACAGAGCTGCGGGGGCTCTCGATAGGGGGCTCGGAGGTCATAGGAGAGTGAGTCGTCTAGAGGGCTCGGCATGAAACATCGATGGCGATGATGCTGATGGTGGTGATGGTGATGGTGATGGTGATGGTGATATTGATGATGATGGTGAGGATGATGATGATGATGATGATGATGCTGATGATGCTGATGATGATGATGCTTCTGATGATGATGCTGATGATTATGACGATGTTGATGATAGCTTGTGATGGGTGTAACGATGATGATACTGATGACGACGATGATGATGATTATGATGATTATGATGATTCTGATGATGATGACGATGGTACTAACGATGATAATGATGATGGTGATGATGATGGTGGTGATGATGATGGATGATGATGATGGTTCTGATGACGATGATGATGATGATGATGATGATGAGGATGGTGACGGTGATGATGATGATGATGATGATGATGATGATGATGATGATGATGATGATGATGATGATGATGATGGTGATCATGGTGGTGGTGGCGGTGATGATGATCAGGATGGTGTGACAATCATGCTTGGAGCTTGGCAGTTTTCGTTCCTGCTTCGCTCCTCCCTCAGATCCCTGTCCTCCTCTCCTCCCCACTGTCCTCAGCCTTTCGCTCTTTGTTTTTTTCGCAGGCCCGGAGCCACAACCCGCGCGCCTTCCTCGTCGATTTCTTGTTTGACGTAGTATTTCGGGGCGTTTATCGACGCGCCGCACTGTTGCCAGTCGCGCGGGGTGCCTTTGCAGGAGCGCGCAGCCAGGCTGTCGTCGTGATTGCCGCTTGGCGTGTGTGCGTGCGGTTCGCGCGCCCCGCGTCCTTGCGTCCCGGGTCGTCGCGCGACGACGCCATGGTTCATCGAAGGTGGCTTTCGTCGTCATCACCGCCCCTGTCGTTATTGCTGTCATCGTCGTCCTCGTCGTTGCCGTCGCCCTCTGATCGTCGCGGCCGCCGTCGTCATCATCATCGCCGTCGCCGATGCCGTCGTCACTATCATCCTTCGCCCGCCCGGGTCATGGATATGCAAGAAGCGGGTCTTCGGGCCATCGCGCCAGTGAAGTGTTGCCAACACTTGCGGGTGGGTCGGCGAGCTGCTACTTGGGTCGATTCGTATGACGGCACGAGTAAGTACAACACGTACTACACCACATATACGCAAATATTGGTGCAACCATATTTTGATGTACTTCTATTCAGTGTGGTGTTTATGTTTGCATATCTGTCTATCGTGCTGGCGCTGTTGGGCCTGGAGGTGGGCTTCTGGGTCTTGCCCGCTGATCCGGATCTGGCTGGCAACCGCCCACGCATCGTGGACGACCCAACCTTCAAACCCAGCTCAATTCCAGGCGACGCCGTTCGAGATGAAACTGCCCCATGAAGACATGGCTGATTTCGCGACAAATGCAGAGCAGACGGCCAAGGAAAAAAGGCGGGCAAAAACACGCGACCAGCAGCAGTTCAACTCTTCTACTCAAGTGGGCACGCTGCCGCCTGAGGACCATGACTTGAACCACTTGGTTGATGACCTTCAGACGGCCAGCACCATGCTGCTGATGGACCCTGCTTTTGTCCCAGTGCTCTACTACACTGGGGTCCCATGACACGAAACGCCCTCCGTTTCGTCAGGGTTCCCTGGGTTTTTTTGCTGGCGTTGGGCGCGGAGGGTCGCCGCATGCCAAGGCACCCAGGGTTTCTTCGCCCCCCTGGCCTGAGTCAAATGAGCACGAGTTTTTTCCCAGAGAAGAAGTCGTCGCCCTTCAGTTTGTGCAAGGTCCGAAGCTCGCATTTTCGATCGCCTTGGGTTTCGTGATGTCATGCTTGACGCCAACAGTCAAGAAACTGCCCGGGCCAGGGTGCCTTGGGTTTCTTCTTTTCAGCCGAAGTGCAAGAGATTCAGGAATCGTGACGGGTTTCAGGGTTGGGTTTCTTGCGGTGGGTTTCTTGTGGATCGCCCCCCCGTTGTATGTGATGAGCGAGCGCCCGCCTGTGTGCGGCCTTGGGGGCGTGCCGCAGGACCTGGCAGAACATTGTAGGAAACAATGCAGCCGCGACGGTATCCTGTGCGACCTGGAGCTTGGCCTTGATCCGGCCAACTACGTGTGCGCGGCCACCTGGGCTGTCCTGGTGCACCTGGCTGGTCTCCAGCCCGCGTCGAACAACGCCGAACTTCCCGGAACCATCGCGCAGGTGGCGAAGCAAAGAAGATTCCGCCCCGCCTCGACGCGTCGCTGATAGAGGCAGACCGGGCGGCCATCCATGGGGCACTTGCGGGCCATCTTGGGGAATTTCACGCCCCGGGCGCATGGGCTTTGCAGCGACTCTATGGGGCCCGGCGCAGAGCCTCTCAGCTCCCCATGGGTCGCCAATTTAAGGCCCGCTTACCTGCGCGCGATCAGTTTTGGAGGCCCACGGCATCAGTGCGAAGGACTTCCACGCGTCGGCTGATGGCTTGGGGATTGCGCAGTCTGTGTCCTCTCAATCCACCTGGCAGGGTCGGGCGCAGGATTGGTGGGCCAGAAAAGTCTTAACCAGGCCGCGCGGGTGGGGTGCAGCGAGGGCGGCGCGTCCAGCTCTGGCCGCGATCTTCTCCTCGCGGCCCCCCCATGGGCACCGCTCCCGAGGCTAGTCCTGGACCCGCCAGCGCTTCGCGACAACGGCGCCAGGTTTGACCCCGCAATGGCCAACTCAGTCATTTGATGCGACGAATGCAACAAAAGCTTCGGCCCGAACGGAGGCTCCTGGGTTAGCGGTGAGAGCCGTCTGCTCCTGGCGACCAGGAAGACCGCCTGCCAGTGGTGCGTGAACTGTCGATGGCGGCGCGTAGGCTGCTGGCGGGGCGAGTGCAGCGCCCGTGGGCAGCCGGTTCCAGCGGGCGTGGAGCTTCCCGGCTTTCTGCGCGCCCTGGGCGACCAGGCGGCGCTCGAGGCTGACCGGCAGTTGTGGCGCCCGCTGCCGCGTGGGCGGCGCGCGGTGAAGCCGACGGACAGCGCCCAGTTGGCGGAGCTCGTCTTTCGCCGACAGTTATCCGCGACCCCGTGGCAGGTGGCGCTGCCGCGCCCTGGTTCGGAGCGCAGGCTGCGCGCGGGGGGCGCGCGGGGACGCTCGACGGGCGCCCGGCAGCGGGGCCTGCCCTGTTGTGGAAGCGCGGAGAGCCTCCGCCTGTGATATTCGCCCGCAGCCCTGGCGAGCGTCTTCGCGGCGTGTTCGAGCAGGACGTGGCGCGCGGCATTCCTGCCTTCCAGGGCTGGGTGCGCGCGTTCAAGAAGAAGGCTTGGGATGCCCGATGGCGCTGCGCGGGGCGCCTGGCCCAGATCTGGGGCGCCCGGCCGTCAGACGTACAGGCCATCCCTGCTGGAGACGGAGTCGTGATCTATTTTGGCAGCCTTCGGCCGCGCCTGACATCGAGCTAGGCGCCGCTCCGCTGAACATCGGGAAGCCTCCTCCAGCGTCGACGACCTGGCTTGCGACCCGGGCCCGCGCTTGGCGCAGCAGGCCGCCCGGGTCGCCGTCGATCCATTGGGGCTCCTCGCGACCGCGGCGAATTCGTCGACGCCGCGACCCTATTATAGATATGACCACTGAGAGGCAGCGCGCCACCCCTGTTGCCGATCCTGAAGAGAGGGCAAAGTTTGCGCGCGAGGCCGCGTGGAGCGAGCGGCGCCGAGCACCCTTGGTCCGTCGCGGCGGCGTTTCCTTCTCGCCCCGGCGCAGGCTCGGGCCAAGTTCCACCCTGGCCAGCGCAGGCTCCATCGCGCGCGCGTGAGGACAGACGTGCCGGGGAAGACCCAGAGAGCCAGGCGACCGCCTGGCTCCAACGACATGGCTCGCAGCAGGTTCGACAGGGGCGGCCGAGAGGGGGGGGCCCGCAGGGTCGCCCGCAGCAGGGCCCGCTGCGAAGGGCGCGACAGCTGCTATCCCAACGGGCCAGCCGCCATCCTGGACGCCGCCCCCATTGCCACCTGGTGACAGCTCCAAAGTAGCGCCGCTGCTGCCGTCGCCGAGGGGGCGGCCCATTGGGCCCGCTGCAGTAGCCCCAGCGCCCGCGGGTGCGCCGGCGGTTTCCCCGGAGGGGCAGCCCGCGCCGTGGGTCCCGGCCCTTCGATCTGCCACCCGATGGCAGCCCCGAGGCGTGGGCGTCTGCGCTGCTGGCACTGTGCCAGCCGACGAAGCCAGCGCGGATAACGGGCGCCGCCTGGGCTTCATTCCAACCATCCGGCCCCCGTCGCGCAGCGACGCTGCGGGCCCGCTCCCCGTGTGCTGGTGGGCGACTGCCTGATGGCCGGGGGCGACGACGGCGCCCGCCTCTCGCGTCGGCGCACGCTGGCCGACGATGCGGGCGAGCGACTCCCGCCCGATCTCCCGGGGGTGTTCGTGGCAGGACCAGTCGAGGAAGTTCAGGCAGGACTCCGCCTGTGCGCGAATCGGGGCAGAGTGGCTCGCGGTCGAGACGGAACAGGGTCCATCCAGTTGGTTTGGATCACCCGGGGCGGCCGCCCCCCAGGCAGAGCGGGCGGCGCCGTCGGGCCTGGGGCCGGCGAGGCGAGGCAAGGAGGCGCTGAGTAGGCCGGCGCGCTTCGCGCGGAGTGCAGCGCCCTGGTGATAGGCGCGCTACAAGGCCCCAGCGCAATCGAGATGGACTGGTGGCAATACTGGCGGCCCCCGCTGGAGCTCTTGGACCTGGGGCAGCCGCTGGCGCAGTGGCCCCGACTGGGGGGCCCGCGGACAGTGGGGCGACAGCGCGTGCCAACGCGAAGACTGGAGTGAACCATGCGACCGCTTATGCAAGGTGCCGCGGCGCGACGATCGACGGGGCCCGCGGTGGGTCTCGATGGGGGCACCGCGACGAGACCTGGTCGGATGCCATCAACTGCCTCAAGGGCATCCGCGGCGCATTCTTGGAATAAGGTTGGACCAGGGCGTGCAGACAGAGGGGTGGCGAGGGATGGGGCAGGGCCCGCTATGACCCCAGCGGCTTCGACGACTTCTGCTGTGGGCTTCTTGAAGACCCAGCCGCGTTTGATCGCGGTACTTGAGCCTGCTGCCGGCGCTGCCACCTGGAGGTTCACTGCGGCGACGCGTGGCGGCGACAGCGGGGCCGACGGGCGCGGGCCAGCGGCGGGAATGGCCCGGGAGGCAGGCGGGCCAGCGGCGCCTCTTGGCCTTCCGATGGGAACGCGAGGCTTTTAGCCTCCAGATTTAGTTTGCCCATCGATTGGGGCCGTGCTCAGTGCGCTCCAGGCCCTGGGCCGACCCGGCTTGGCGATGGGTCCGCGTTGGCGGCTCGGCGCTGTCCACCCCGGGAGGTGCCTTGCTCATTTTCCATTTGCTTGTGTACCGATCAGGTGCTTCGTCATTTCGGCTGCGCGACTGCCCTCCTGAGCGTCGCCCCGGCTTCTGCGCCCGTCCGCGTGCCGATCGGGTGCGTTCTGCCAGTGCCTGGATGATGGAGTCACTTGGCGCGGCTGCCGCCCGGTCGGGGCGACGCGCCCGCCTGCGGCTTGGGCGGCCCCGGCGCGGCGCTTGCGCCGCGCGGGCTCTCTGGCCGGCTTCCAGTCTGCCGGGCCCCCGGGCCTGCCGGCTCGTGGCGCGCGCCTGGGGCCTGGAGACCGCCCCGTCGATCTGGGGCGCCCGTGCACTCGTGCCTCTGCTGCCTCCAGGTCGGGCGCTGCCAGGGCCTGCTGCCGCGCCCCCGGTCGGCTGACCCGGCCGCCAGCGCGGCCGCCGCATGTTCGAGACGCTGCGCCTGCCTGTGGCGCGAGCGCCCCTGTCTGCTCGCCTGCCTGCCTGCCTACTCGCCTTCCTGCCTTCGGAACGCTGCGCCAGTCTGCCCGAGTGAGCGCCGCCCCGCCCCATGGGGCAGCGCATGCGCGGGCCGCTCGGGCCCGCGGGCCCGCGCCCCGCACCCCGCCTGGGGCGCTTGCGCATCCGCGTGGCTGCCTCCATGCTGGGTGCTGCCTGGACCTGCCGCCGTGCGTCGGCTGGAGCTGGCCCCCCCCGCGCCCCCCCTCTGCCCTCGCAGCGGGCAGCCTCCGCCCCGCCTCCCTCCGGCGCGGGCGCCGCGCGCCCTCGGCTGCGATGCGCGCGCAGGCTGCGCTCGGGCTCCGCCGCCCCTCTTCCGGCGCTTCGCCGCTGCGCGGGCTGCGCGCCGCTTTTGGTTCCGCATGCCCGCCGCCTCGCTGGGCGGCGACCTAGGGCCTCAGCTGACTGCCCCGGTGCCCGCCCTCCGTGCCGGTTTAGGGCCGCCGCGGCCCGCCCTGGTCTCCTCCCCGTTCGCGGCGCTGCTGGTTGGGCGCGCTGCTGCGCCTCCGCCCCCTGCTGCGCCGTCTCGCCACTGGCCAGCTGCCGGTGGGGTCAGCCCCCCCGGCACTGCCGGCGCCAGCGTCGGCGGGAAACCTTGCCCGCCCCATTCCAGCCAGCCTTCGATCACCTCCGCTGCATGTTGCCGCCAGGGGTCATTGGCCAGCTTGGCGGCACCGCGCTGGACTCGGACGTCTTCGACGTGGAATTTCGCACCCTCCTCCCATGCTTGTTCTACACTGTGCACTGCAGCCCCTGCTTCAGCCAGCCCCTGGGCGTGGCCGTGACGCCGCCCTGCGCCCGTTGCCAGGGGGTGCAGCACTGGCTGGCCGCCCTGGCCTCTCCGCGGTGATGCGCCTCGCCATGTGAGTGCTCTCCCTCCCTTTCTCCGGCTTCGCGGCCGCTTTCAACAGTGTTCCCCTCGTGCCGCCTTTTTTTTCTGTTTGTTTTTTTTGTTTTTTTTTTCTTCCGTTTCCCAGCCCTCTCGAGTGCGCGTGCGGACTGCGTGTGCCGCGCCGCGACGTTAATTTGCTATGCGTTTGTATTGCGCCGCGGGTATGACGCATTCCATGTTGTACCACGCATGTTTGACCCCGTGGAATGCACCGCGCACAACGCGTAATGATCATTTTAAAAACGCATCGTGTAGGGACCACGCTGGCGCACATGATGATGCTGATGCTGATTCGGGTGCTGCTGTTGTTGATGATGATGATGATGATGATGATGATGATGATGATGATGATCGTGATGGTGGTGTGTCCAAAATAATCAATCGGTTGTTTGGTGTTCAGGTCGATGGTGTTCATGTCGATTCCGATGTTGATGGTGATGTTGATGATGCTCATCTGAGATTGTGGTGATGACGGGGCTGGGGTGATGATGCTGCT